TCCGGTTGAGACCTCCCTGAATTCAGGCAAAAATAGGACAAGAGACTGAGGACGCGTGGGGCGTGCCGCTCGGGCTGGGCAGAGCGAGCTATGGGCATTCGCGGCTTCGGTGTCAACACTTAATGTGGTATTGGGTTGGTTCGTATTGGGCCAATTACCCCAACAATACACAAAGATCTGATATTTCGAGATCAAACCAAACCTTACCATAAAATTTCAGTCCAATTAAAAACATCTTAATTCCCTCAATATACCTACCGTGAACCGTTGCTAATGGCAGTCTGATACTGACAACACTAAAACGATGGTGATAGTATTAGTTGGCGGCAATCCTGTAGAATTTCCGGCAGCCAAAGGCCGCGGTGGACGATTCAACCCCTATAACCGTATTTTTTACAATCTGCCCATGTTCATAACATATCTTTCATGTTCTTATCATCTTATATTTTGCCTAGGCATGTCAAAAAAAACTCGGACCGCAATGACCCGCACACGGCACACCCCCCCGAGACATTTGGGAAGAGCCCGTCCCGTCTTACAAATGGGGCAAGTATGCCCCGCCCCGTGCACACAATGCAGCGGGTCCGGATATTAATATTAACCGTGTCGACCTGCCGCGATCTGACATTGCATTACCCTTGTATTGACCATGTCGACCTGCGTTCATATTTAAGTTTACATTATACTACAAATATACATCTACCTTGCAACTACTACTATTTATATTTGAGCAAGATGAACCATTAACTGTCAATATTTTTTTTCATAATAAGCATTTTATATATTCATTTATTAATATAAATAGATTAACTATTCAAGTTTACATGCTTTTTATAATTTGACACTTTGTTTGTATTGTGACATTTTTTTATTATAATAGTGTTTGCCTAATTATTTTGAGGTAGACTTTATGTAAAAATTCAATATATAATGACTTTCACACAAATTAAGATGTATATTAGCTAATTAGATTACAAAGGGGCCATGTGCCAACTTATAATGACCCGTATAGGTTACGGGGCGGGTACATTTAATAAAGTCACGGGTCGTGTCCTGATCGTTGTCATGACTAGTCTTGCCACTTAATAGATTGATGAGTGGGTCATTTCACTACACAAGTATGTTGAATTGGCGAGGAATCCACATTTTTTACTCTATTCGCTCTAAAATAAAAATAAATCCACTTATATATTTTACGCAAAACAATGAGCCTGGCAAGAACTAGTTTATAAGAAGTTATAGATGCTCACATATACATCAATCTCGTCCTCACTCCTCACAATCACAACTCTTTACATGCAATCCTACGTATAATGATGATTTTAAAAAATGCGAGTTTTTAAAAAATCATAAAGTTACAAATTCATATATTATACTCCCTCTGTCAGACGACTGTCCCTTAATTAAGTTCTCAGTTTGACATTTGCGATTTTCTAGGCGAGCGTTTGACACTAAATGTCTAAAACCTATACTTTTTTTTAGAATAAAAACCTATACTTATTTAACATAAATCAATACTACGTATTTGAATAACATGTATTCCAACGAAGTATATAAAATTAATTTTGTATCAACAAGTAATGTAAATTATGAATAACTAAGGGTCAAATTTTATAAATTTAATCTAAAGAGTGCAACTAGAAATTTAATTGTGAACGGAGGACTACAAAGCTATGAACTTTATAGCGGTTGACAGGGGCATATCTAGGACTCTAGGAGGGCCAACCTAGGTCCCGACCCACTTCGAATTACATTTTTGCTTAAACTTTTAAGATAATTAATCGTGTAAAAAATTGAAAAATATTATTTATACCATATCACACCAATAAACTGCCCTGCCTCCGTCAGTAACGATTGATTTTATATAAATCTACACCAATTTCACCAACGATTTTCTTATTTCACCCTACAGGCCAATCCGAGTTTACCTGTATTGTTTATTTGTTTTTGTCACATATTCCTAAAAGGTCCGATCCATTTGTTTATACAAGATTAACATAAAATAATTACTGTATCAATAATAGATGTGCATGCAATTATAAAAAATATCATTCAATTAATGATAAATATGTTGCAAATGTTTATCATATATATCTTCAAAAAATTAAAAAATTAAGTCAATCTATTCTTTTAGAAAAAAAGGCTTGTGTGTTCATGTATTCTCCTTCTTTAATTTATAGTGATAGAAAAATCAAAATCAATGACGTTTTTTTTTTACTATTTTTGCAAAATTGACTTTAATAAGAAAATGTCTTTTTTTCAAACCACTCACGCTTCATTCGTAGATGCCCATGTTTTAGGGGTGTTTGGAACTGTTTCTGTTTCTACTTCTTTTTTAAAGCAGAAGCAGAATCAGAATCAGTTTTCAGAAGCCGGTATCCCTCACCTTCTAGAAAAATTGATTCTGGGAGTAAATTAGACCATCAGATCACTTCTGAACTTTCACCCAAACACTTCAACTTCTAGAAGCAGAATCAGTTTTAAGAATCAGATCCAAACACCCCCTTAGTTCTTTTCTAATAGTTTCATATTGTCTCTTTTGTCTTTGGTGTTCTTTAGGTGTTTTCTAAAGTGTTCTTAAATAAATGCAACACTTTGACTTTTACACTATTCACATGTTCTACTTTGACTACATTTTATTTATTAATGTAATAATATTTTTTTATGAAAAAATATTGTTAAACTTGTTTCATTGTAAATTTTCATAATCTATTTTTTTTTAAATTTTTTTACTAATACAAAATCATACTCCGTATATATTAATGTCAAAGTTGTGTCTCGACAAGTGTGAAATGTTGACCGTTGCATTTATTTAAGAACGGAGAAAGTATATATAATTAAAATAAATTTTGTTTATAAAACATGACCTCATAACAGTAACTTAATCATAGTAACTTACGTTCAACTTTTACACTTAAGTGACTATGAGACTATCCTGTAATAACTTTAATCACATTTTTGCTGATAAGTTTCATTTCAGTCATATTTTTGAGGAAAAAACACTCTAGTCTCATTTAAGTTTCACCACTATTCTAAAAATCGCTCTAGGTGTCGACTAGTCCTCGTCTAGACTAGGCGGGTGCAGGGCGCTCTGACTAATTGGCTTGGAACCTAGGTGAATTAGACGGCCACCACCTAAGGTGCCTAGTGAATTGTCTGCCAACAATGCTTAACTGGCCGCTTGGAATGTCTAGATTCACATAATTATCTAGAATTTTCACGACAAGTCACTAGGAGTGATGGGTCATTGGTGGCCGGCAACGGGTCAGTGAGAGCAGTGGGTCACTAGACATCAAGTCACTCGGAGCGGCGTGCCACTGTCTCCTGGTCATTATTGACCTGCGTTGGTCACTGACTGTAAATGGAACTCAGATTATAAGTACTACATAAAAGTCATATTTTGTTATCTTTAAAAAATTAGGTGCCACACACACACACACAATATTAAGACAAGTGGTCAGTGGGTGTAACTCAACTGGTAGATAAGAGTACTCTTACAAGGAGTTCAAATCTTGATAAGTGCGATGAGAGGTTAATATGTAAAAGTGTATAGGGCTTCTGCAAGTACTTAGATCTCACTCGCTATTTTGTGAATTTGTGATTAAAATCTAATTTAGATCATCCAAGTTAACTTTTCGGCCGGTGCTGAGCCCTTAGCGATATGTGCCTTTCATTTTTTTTAGCGAAATTCATACCAATAAATCCGTACTTTTAACAATTATACAAAAAAAAGAATCGCTATTGAAATTGTCTATACAAATAATCCAAACTTATAAACATGTCTACAAATATAGATAGATTAAATTAAAAAGAAAAAAAGGAGGTGTTCAGTTTCATATTGCTCTCATACCCAGCTCATCCACCTCTAGTGTACCATACATCTTCTCCCTCTCAACTACACTTATTTTCCCTTTTAAAGTTGAATTTTCTTATCTTATGAAACCATATGATTTTCTTCACACATTCGTCTTGAAATACCTCAAACTGAGAAGATTGTCATCACATCTTAATGACATGATAATCAACACACTTCGTTGGATATTCATGTACTGATCTTTTGAGTTTATGTTGAAAATAAATGGATTGTGAATTACTACGTAGTAATTTAGTACTTGTGGTTAAATGAATTCATTTAAGAAACAGAATTATGTTTTATCGACCTAGTTAGCTCTTAGTTAGGAAATTTGGTAGAACAAATAGCCAATTTTTAAAAAAGATTTTTCCGTGACTTTGTTCACTCTTGTCATAAATTTGAGATCAGTGTTTTTATATCATAATTATAATTATTTTCTTAAAGGATCTTCGTAACAAAAAAATATCTTCCCATTTCAAAAGTAAGTAGATTAAGAATAGTGAAAGTTGATATGAACTATTGAGGGTATGATGAGAAGATAGTGGAATAATGTGATGAAATGTAGGATACATCCAAAAGAATTAGTTGTAATAGTGTAATTCGTATTATTTTCAGAATTATTGAGAGTATGATGAGAAGATTTTGAAATGTGAAGATTTTTTTTGTTACAGACCAAAAAAGAAAATGAGATTTTTTTTTGTTACGGAGGGAGTATATAAAATCAGGAGACTGATCTTCTACTCATGAAAGATTTAATCTATCTATATAGACATGTTTATGAGTTCGGATTATTTATATAAACATCTTTTGATAGAGATTATTATTGTAGAGCTACTAAAAATGGTACATATTATTGATATATTGACATGAATTTAGCCTTTTTTAATACTCCCTCCGTTTCCAAAAATACTTCCCACTTTCCTTTTTGGGCCGTTCCAAAAAATTCTTCTCACTTTCCTTTTTTGGACAATTTGTGTGGCTCACATTCATTTTACCTTTTTCTCACATAATCACAACCACACATTTCCACTTTATTCCATTTTCTTAATAAGCGTGCCAAGTCAAACCGGGAAGAATTTTTAGGAACGGAGGGAGGGAGTATTAATAAGACAAGTGCAATCTCAACTCCCAAAACCATACAATAACCGTTGGAGGCTGAACATGATGCCACGCGGTCGAATCAGAAGGCGAGTGAGTGTTCATGCTTACCCTCTTCTCACGCCGTTCCATGTCTGCCCTCCGTCTTCCACGCGACCATCTTTCTCCAGTCCAACTCTCCCAAAACTAATCTGACTTGCTTTCTACGGAGTTCTTCTCTGTTACCTCTCTCCTCTTTCTACCAGTTCAAACAAAGCAAGCGTTGGCGGAAGTTTTGAAAAAGAAGCTCTTTTGGGCGTCCGAGGTTGTTGTTTGGACAAAGCGACGTCGTATGCGGAGGTAGAAGGATCATTTAAAGCGGCTGATTCTGTGCTTGATACGGATTGATTCAAATATACCTTTTATTGCCTTCTTTCCAAACGCTTTCGAGTTATGCCTTTCCTTTCCCTTTACACGAAGACCACACCCACTTTTTTGAATTCCATTCCTTGTTCGGGTTCTTGAAAAAAAGCTGCCTTTTTTTCCCTCTGCTTCTTAGCGCCGCCTTTGATCCTCTGATCACCATGAAGCCGTTCAGCTCTGTAAGTAAACATTTTTTTGTCATCTGTTGCTGTTAAATGATGTTTTTTAATTAGTTTCAGTTCCAATTTCTGTTGCTAATTACTTTATCATCTAAATCACAAATTTTGACTTCATGGGTTGGTGAAAAAGTGAAAAACTGAAAAGATATGAACTTTACATTGGGAACTTTACGGGAAAGGGTAGCTTTTTATAATAGTTGGTCTAACTGGCATGTGTTATTCTTGAGTTTTTTAATATGTTCTTTCACCAATTGCTTATACACAACATACTTTATTAGTCTGTGACCATCTCTACCTTCTACTAAGCATTCAGGGTCCGTTTGAAATGAAGATATAGGAAGGAAAGAAAACTTGAGAAGGAACATAGCTGGTTCAAATTTCATAGATATTTTGGATAATTGGTCAAACTTATTTTTTCTGATTTTTCTATCATTACGATAATACGATTCATAAATCTGAGAAATCTAATATAAATGATTTTCTTAGAAGTTTTATATATATTTGATATGTCTGTATTTTCCAAGGTTAAACCAAGCATATAAATTTGGAGAAAAAGGGTCAAATAAGCCCTAGAACTATGAGCTATTATGCAATCAGTCCCTTGAACAGAAAAACCTTGCAAATATGCCCGCGACCCATTGAAACAAAGCAATTGGATCCTTTTTTTACCGGCTCGTGCCGGTAAAACGGTAACTTTCTTGCAAGAAGTTACTGGTATCAATAGGTAAAAAGGGCTTGATTACTTTATTTCAATGGGTCGAGGGTGTATTTCCATGGTCTTCCGGTTCAAGGGTCTAATTGCAGAATCGCTAATAGTTCGAGACATAGCCTCAACATAAAAAAATTAAAAAGAGAAAATTTGTTATGTCCTCTTCTCAATTTAGTTTTTTTTTGCTTTCCAGTGTGTTGGTTCACTAGCTTGGGTTTTAGTACATTGAATGAGTATCCTTAAATTTTTGAGAACTGGACCTGGCAAGATTTTTTTGTACCATGTGTAATCAATACGAAGATTATACTTCCCTCAATTAGCTACATAAAATGTATATCTCTACAATTGTTTTTTGGGCGAGGGCAAATGACGGAAACACATCCTTGTGTATGCAATGCCATTAAATACATGTTTGCGTTTTTAAGAATTGTTATGGGATTTAAATATGTTATAGAATTTGTTTTGTAATATCTGATAATATCGGTTGTATTAATTTTCCAGGTTTCTTCTGCACTGTCAGATCCTAAAACTAGATCATGCCTCTGCAGTCTTTTTGTCACCATTGCGCTAATTTGCAGTGTATACTTCACAGCAAATGTATATTTTGGAAGAGAATTTAAGGCAAATAGTTTCTCTCAATTTATTTGTTTTATTTGTCATTAAAAAGATAAAGAAAAAAAGGGCAGCCATGCCTTGTTTGGTTATCAGAAGTAACTATATTTGACAAAAGTAACTGTGTGCAGATACCTTTCCGGTCTGGAACAAGTCACTCAAAACAAAGTGCTAAATCGTGTAGAAATGAGGTTGGTTGTTGGTTTACTTTTTAGTAAATATATGATCTATTAATCACACTTGACAATTTCCTTGCATGAACAATATACTCATTGAATAAATGAAATTGATATCTAGGTTTCATCTGCAATTGATGTAAAAATAAATGACACCAAAAATAATTTCGAGACTGGTAAATGCATGGTAACATATTTTAAACTTCGTATTGCCCTTTATATTGTTGAAGATTTCTCTCATTTTTTTGGTTCATAAAACTTATCAGTTTCTATCGATTAGGAAAAATGCAGGCCTATTGGTAGTGAGGCACTTCCGGAGGGGATTGTTTCGGCAACATCAAATTTGGAAATGCACCCCTTGTGGGGTCCACTCACCGAAAAGGTTAAAAGCGTCTTACCTATGTCTATTAATGACTCTCTGGTAGTGAAAGTTGTGTTTATGATCTTAAAAGTATGTGCGCTATATTTGATGCAGGAGGAGTCAAACCATCAGGTTAGTTTGCTGGCCATTCCTGTTGGGATAAAGCAAAAAGAGTTAGTGAACCAAATCGTTAAGATGGTGACTCTCCTCTCTCTTCCCATCCTAGTTTTTATTTTGTATGCTGTCATCTTCTCACTTGTTCGTTATGTACTTCTGCAGTTTCTAGAGGATGAGTTTGGTGTGATGCTATTTCATTATGACGGTGTTGTCGATGAATGGAATGATCTTGAATGGAGTAAGAAAGTCATACATGTATCTGCCGTGAATCAAACAAAATGGTATGTTTTACTTCATTTCAATACTCTGAAGCTACGGAAATTTCATTGGATGTTTCAATATAGATATCATTTTTTGGAAGAAAACTACATTTCGCAAGTTTTTTGAGAAAATATAATGAGACTACTAATATTTCAGATATGTGTTTTGGTAGTTATCAAAATGTTTTTGTATTTTTAAATATTCCTTGAGATTTTCCAACCTGTCTTTGATATCATAGAGGTATTCTTTGCCTCTCATATTGATATAGATGACCTCTAATACGGAAGTTTCAAAATTAAACTATTGACAGATATTTCCATCCTTGAATACAACTCATTATCTACCCCCCATTCTCGTCCCCACCCCCCTTAGCACCTCTAACGAGTTTCCATACATCATAACCCATCACTCTAGTGGCCATAATGAACAATGGGTCAAATCACATTTGCTCTCATATTCCTCTATGTGTGTCGTTTACTCATCCCGAGTGTTAATTTGCAGGTGGTTTGCGAAGCGTTTTTTGCACCCAGATATAGTTACTGAATATGAGTATATCTTCCTATGGGATGAGGACCTTGGAGTAGAAAATTTTCACCCTAAAAGGTACTTATTTCTTATTAATTGGGCACCTTGTTATATATATATATATATATATATATATATATATATATATATATATATATGTTTGAATGTACCTGGTTTCATATTAATAAAACAATATTGGCCAATTCTGAACATCATTATTTTTTTTTGCAGGTATGTATCAATTGTGAAAGAAGAGGGTCTTGAAATATCTCAGCCTGGACTCGATCTTCATAAATCGGAGGTGCATCATCGTATTACAGTGCGCAAAAGGAATTCTAAAGTTCACAGGTTCGGTTTTTTATTTTTTATTTTTATTTACTCATTCATTTTTTTGCTTTGTTCCATCATTTGAAATGGAGCCAAAGATTCATTATTTTTTGGCTTGAGAATATGATGTAATAAAGCAAAATGGCTCATTAAACTGTCCGCGCTTCTTTGTTATGAAGCAGCAGTCAGTCCATGCAATTTCGGACGCGATTTTCACTATGGGTCATCCGGAAACAGTCTCTCTGTGCTTTAGTACAGGGGTAAGACTGCATACATCCGACCCCCCTTACCCCACCGTAGGTGGGAGCCTTTGCGGCACTGGAGTAAATGAAAACGAAAAAATGAAAATGATTCATTTTTTTTGCTGGTATAAAAAAATACTGATCTTTTACAAGCTGTTTCTCTGACCAGGAGGTTTGTTACATCCAATGCCAATGGATGCAAAAGCAACAGTAGTGCTCCTCCTTGTGTAGGGTAAGGAATTGCGTGCTTTCTCGCTTAAAATTTTACTTTTGAAATGGGTTACCTACTTTCCTTTGTTAAATCATCTATCACAACAAAATATAAAAATGTTAATCAATGTACATGAATACATTAAGGCACTCCAATTATTGTTAACCTTTTTTAGAATAAAATTCCAATTCTGAATATTGTATTAGAGTATATTAAGATCAAAGGTCAAAAAAACTATTCAACTCTTGGTTCTTAAAATTAGTTTGCATCAATTTGATCTTATTATAGATGATATTAGATTCATGATCGCATCAAATGCGAAAATTAAGGTATCACATGTGAGACGGTCTGCGAATCGAGTAGCTCATGCGCTTGCTAGGGTTGCTGTTTGTTTGTCTAATCGTATAGTTTCTTGGGGTAGAAATGATAATGGTATAAATGAATCGTAGGTGGGTAGAAATGATGGCTCCTGTATTTTCGAAAGCTGCTTGGCGTTGCGCATGGTACATGATTCAGGTATAACAAGTTACTTACTATAGGTTCTCTGAATTTAAGGTATACGGATGATCTCACAATTGATGTAATATGATTCTTATATTATTTTTCTTTTTCATACAACAGAATGATTTTATTCACGCGTGGGGTTTGGATAAAAAGCTTGGCTATTGTTCACAGGTGATTTTTTTCATAACGTTATACTCCCTTTATTTAATTATTGTTTCTTTCATGTGATGATTTACTTTATAGTCCATTTTGTTGTCTACAGGGTGATAGGACAAAAAAAGTTGGAATTGTTGATGCAGAGTATATATACCATTTGGGTCTTCCTACACTTGGTGGTGATTCTCATAGAATCAAGGCAAGTTTATATTTTGCTGCTTGCTTCAACTTGGTTTCCTCCTTTTCCATTCTTAGGCATAGTTTGGTTGACCCACGTGACTGTAATAAGTCGTACTCCCTCCGTCCCTAATTTATCATCCGAAGTACATTTGGCACGGGGATTAAGATAGTGAGTATTGTGTGGTGGAGAGTTGGGCAGAAGAGAGAGAAATGTGTAAGAATTGTTGTGAACCACAAATTCTTTGCCAAAAAGGGAAAGTGAAGATAGGTTTGGGACGGACGAAAAGGAAAATTTGAAAGATAGTTCAGGGGCGGAGGGAATAACAATTAAATCAAATTTTAACTGCGTCTTACCAAACTACACCTAAGACTAGAAAATGGATATTTTCTTAGGAAAAGAAGTTAGTTTGACTAGTACAGACATTTATACAGCTGAGTTCTCCCGAGCTTTCCCAGCCAAGAAAGAACTTCACTGATTCAGAAGCAATGGTACATCAGAGTGTCTATGAACTAGACTAGGGCTCCGTTTGGTAGCTGGTTTACTTTTGACTGAAATAGTTAGCAGATATTTCAGCGATATAATCATTACCAAACGAACCCCTACATTCAAATTTCCTGTAACAATCCATGTGATTTCCTATTGTATCTGATTGAAAATTCTGTTTGACATTACAGGGAACTCCACCATCAGTCCATAAAACAGATAATAACAATAACAGACCTGAGGTATGTGTCATGGATCTTTCTCTTGCTGCACCGCAACTTTGTTTCGAAATTAACATTATGATTCATATGTTTCTGCAGGTAAGGAAGCGATCCTATGATGAAATGAAGGCTTTCGATAATCGGTGGAAGAGGGCCGCCCAACAGGATAAATGTTGGGTTGATCCATTTAAGTAAACAAAGCACAACAAGAACAACATTACTGTACAGGAGGAGCTGCTCCGTTATGGCACTGGGAAGCTCTTGGAATTAGTTGAGAAAGGAAAGTCCTTTTTATAATTCTTTTCTTTGCTTCTGTTTTTATATAGTTTTTGGCTTGTTACAAATACAACAGGTTTTCTTGGAATTTGATTATAGTTTATTAGATGTCTCCTATTACTTTTTGAACAATGTATATTCATTTATAATTCTTTTATGGTTGTATATAACTATATATCAAATCAATGTCTATGTATTCACATTTTAAATATTAATTAATGCCACCAGAGAGTATCATCATAACTTAATTCCATATTACGGGTGTATGGGTATTGTCCCAACAGTACCCATAAGGGTCCAGATCCATGGGCTGGGTGGCCCAAACTCTGAGCCCATCCTAGACACAATAGTAGGATTGCTAGAGCTTGGACACCAATACACCATTGGTTCGGGACTTCAGATGATTGACCCAATGAAGCGGTCTAGCCCAAGTAGAACGTGTGCCCGTCAGAGAACGTAAAATTGTGATCCTTCACTGAAGAAGGGGAAAGGAGTGGCGAGTATTTTGTAATCTTTATAAAGACCAATTCATTCTTACTCATCTCATCATCTGAGTTGTCAATGTGATCATTATGAAGCATGTTGACATGATGAATGGTAAAGACTCATTTAATTTAAATATTTAATGAATCATGAATTCATGATCATCGATCACATCAACGTGCTCCATAGTGAACACGTCGGCGTGTTCCATAATGAGCATGTTGGCATGCTCTATGGAGTATATTATTTCCTCTATGTCCCTTCTTTTCTTGAAAAGACATTCAAGAGTAAGTATAAGTTCCTAGGTTGAAGACATTCATTTAGATTAATGTCAATTCATATAACACAAGTATAAATTTCGAAGCATAAGTATCAAATTATATATACTCCGTAATTTATTAATAATCTTTTCTTATGAAATACGAAGTATTCCACTAATATCATGTAAATGTTGTAATCATTATGGTGTAAATTTGAAATACAAAAATACTACGTAGTAAATCACATTTTTACTTTTCAGAAATTGCCTTAAATAGGAGTAAAAACGTTTTGAAATTCCAAAATAGGAGTATCATGTTTTTTATTCCCTGAATAGGAGTAATCTGCCAAGTTTGGGAAAAAATGCCATGTTTAAAGCCTTGTAATGTGTCAAACTTGGCAGAAATTTACTCCTATTTAGGGAATAAAAACATGATACTCCTATTTTGGAATTTCAAAACATTTTTACTCTTATTTAGAGAATTCTCTCTTTACTTTTTTGTATAATGTTTTAGTAAATTAGTAGTAATAATTTATAAAAAAAACCTTAAAAGATCAGATTTTGTGTAATTGAATTTCACCCAATGGTCGCACCCTTCATCAGACCACATTCATATGACAAACATTTAACTTAGAAAATGTGTACTCCGTATGTTCGATGGACGAAAGGGTTTAAGGTTACAATTTACAAAACCCTTATTTTCCCATCGGAGTTCTTTTTCGATCGATTAGGGTTTCTGATCCGCCATCTCTAAGTTCTGGCATAAGCATAGAAGGATGTATCGAACTATACTCCGTTCTCTCCGCCGTACCGCCACGGGGAGTGTCGCCGCCGCCAACCAAACTCAGTTCATTTCAGCAAATCGCATACAAAATCCCAGCTTTCTCCTCCCGCACAGATCATTTGCCTTCTCCTCTGCCGAGGAGGCCGCAGCTGAGCGCCGTCGCAGGAAGCGCCGTCTACGTATCGAGCCACCGCTTGGGGCACTTCGTCGGGACAATGTTCCGAGGCCTCCTCCCTCCGACGATCCCCGATCTCGCCTCCCTGACTCTACGTCCGCACTCGTTGGGCCTAGACTCAACCTTCACAATCGCGTGCAGTCTCTGATTCGAGCCGGGGATCTCGACTCCGCTGCAGCTGTTGCTCGTCACGCGGTGTTCTCAAACACCCGCCCCACGGTCTTCACCTGCAACGCCATCATCGCCGCCATGTACCGCGCCGGCAGGTATAACGATGCTAAGGCCCTGTTCCAGTATTTCTTCAATCAGTCTAACATCATCCCCAATGTAGTATCCTACAACAACCTAATTGTTTCCCATTGCGAATCGGGGGAAGTTGATGAAGCCATAAAAGTGTACCACCATATCATTGAAAACGCCCCTTTTAGCCCTTCATATGTGTCCTATCGCCATCTGACTAAGGGTCTAATAGACTCAGGTAGGATAGATGAAGCAGTTGATTTTCTCCGGGAAATGCTCAACAAGGGGCATGGGGCAGACTCTCTGGTGTACAATAATTTGATTTTAGGGTTTCTGGAATTGGGAAATTTGGAGAAAGCAAACGAGCTGTTTGATGAGCTTAAAGAGAGGTGTTTGGTTTATGATGGAACCGTGAACTCGACTTTCATGGATTGGTTTTTCAAACAAGGGAGGGATAGGGAGGCCATGGACTGTTACAAGGATCTTTTAGACAGAAAGTTCAGAATGGTACCCGTGACCTGTAATGCGCTACTTGAGGTTTTGTTAAAGCATGGGAAGAAAAAAGAGGCGTTGGATTTATTTGATGCCATGTTGGATGATCACACCCCCCCTGTATTCCAAGCAGTTAATTCTGACACTTTCAATATCATGGTGAATGAGTGTTTTAAATTAGGGAAGGTTTCAGAGGCTATGGAGACTTTCAAGAAGGCCGGAAAGAGTGCAAAGTCAAAACCTTTTGCAATGGATGTCGCCGGTTTCAACAACATGATCATTAGGCTTTGTGAACTTGGAATGATGGAAGATGCAGAGAGGTATTATATGGAGTTGTGCGGTAAATCTTTGAATCCTGACGTAACTACTTACAGAACAATGATAGAGGCTTATATTAAGCTGGAGAACATTGAGGGTGTGCTAGACAAATACACAAAAATGGTGGAGGCAGGGTTGAGAGTCATTCCTGTTCATGCTAACAAGTGGTTTGGTTTCTTGATTAACAAAGGCAAGGCTATGGAATGTGTACCGATCCTGACTAAGATGGGCGAAAGAGAACCAAGGGTTGATGTTATGACCTATGATGTTGTGATTAGGGCGCTATGTGATGGTGGAAATTACGATGCTGGTTTTAATCTGGTGAGTCAGATGGTGAACTATGGAGTTGGGGTCACCCCTGATTTCAGGGCGTATCTGTTGGAGGAATTTGGGAAACAAGGCAGGCGAGATGAGGTTGAGTCACTATTTAACAAAAGCCCAGGATATTTTCCAAATCCGCGACCTAGGCAACCTCAGATGCCTAGACAGCAGCCTCTAGCTCACCAATTGCCACCAAGTCAGCATTCCTGGCAGAATCATACAACCTATCAATCATCACCTTCAAATTTTATGGCACATCAGGGTGGGCAAATGGTACAACAGTCTCATTTCGTGGAACATCCTGGACAAATGACATCACCGCCCAATTATATGGGACAACAAGGCAGTCCAATGGGATCAGGCCATACTGTAGGACCTCACAGGGAAGGTCAGTCATCATCACACACATCAGATGTAAGACAGGAAGTTGAAGTTACACAAATGGGAGGGAGAGGAGGAAAGTTTGATTATTTTGGAACATGAAACTGATGTTGGTAGAACTGTTTTTCTCTTTTCTTTTCTTTTCTTTTAAAGATGCTATTTCTCAGGTTCTGGTTACAAAAAGTCAAATTTTTGTGCTTCTTTCAGTGTATTTGTTTGTGCCTCATACCAAGTCATTGATGTTTTACCCGAGAAAAGAACACTACTTTATATATGTATTATTGATAGCTTTGAGTGAGATTAAGTAGTTCATAATGCAAAGCACCCGATTTCCACCCTCCACATTCAGTAGTTTGCTCACACAGTCACACTCTATGGTCTCTTTTGAGTCTGTCTGCTCACACTTCACTAGTTTAATAATAATTGTTGATATTTATTTTTCTTCACTAGTTTAATAATAATTGTTGATATTTATTTTTGTACTTACCGATTATTGCAAGGCTCCACGTAGGTCTTTCCTGGTGATTTATAATTTATAATGAGGTATTTGCGATATTCCTGAATTTTTAAGAAATAATACAAAAATAAATGTTAGTTTACACAAATCTGACCTCCGATGTAGTGAGTCTAGTGATTATAATAATGACTCAGACATATTATATTTCTTTAATTTTTACACTTCTAGCCATGGGTCATATTTTTATTGAATAAGTATCATTGCGATAATATATTTGAAAAAGCTCTAACAAGGACTCACTAATATGGATCTTTGAATATCTTATTAAGTCTCAACTCAATTCTATTTTCTTTTTATTTATAACACGAGGCCTAAAGAATTCGTCTCCAAATTGTTTTACGTTTCATCGTCTAAGGTATAACATCACTACGGAGTATTAACTAACACGTAGTACTCCGTAGTAGACCTGCACAAAAGCGGGCTCGGGCCGGGCTCGGGCCGGGCTTTTCATATGTTTTCTGCCCATCATGTGTGGGCGGGCCCGGCTCGGCCCGCAAAAACGGGCCTAACCCCATGTCCGTACCCGCCCGTAAGAGCGGGCCGGGTAGTCCACCGGGCCGCCGGGCCCGGGAAGACTTTAAATTTTTCAAAATTATATAATTTATTTAATACTTTATAAATAATATTACAACATTTAAAAAATTGCTAATACGCTTATAATGTATATAGGTCTTTCATCACATACACAAAAAATATTTACACAAAAATAATAATGAGAAACTATATCTAAAATTTAAAATTCATGCACAAAGTATTATTGTAAGTACAAAAATAGATATTATATTGGTTGGACTATTTGTTAAGAACTAAAAACTTAAATTTAAACATAATAAACTATAAATATGTATACAGATAAATTAGTAAATATAAAAATATACATGTGTACATGTAACTAAATACATAAATTAGTATATATAAAAATATATATGTATATATACTAAATGTAGCGGGCCGGGCTTATCGGCCCGAACGGGCCTACACCCTAACCCAAGCCCGCCCATATGTTGTTGCGGGCCGGGCCGGTGGGTAAATATAAATGCCCAAGCCCGCTAATTTGTGTGGGCGGGCTGGGCGGGCCGGGCGGGCCAGCCCGGTTTTGTACAGGTCTACTCCGTAGTAGTAATACTTTTGATAAGCCAACGATTGTGACATTATATTTATTGCTCTTAACTCTTTATTCGTTCCCAAATAAATTTTGCAGACGTCATTAGTAAAACTGAATTGCATAGGCTGAAAAACATTTGTCCAGCGCTTCATTCTTAAGTAATTGTAA